AAAAAAAAAAAAAAAAAAAAAAAAAAAAAAAAAATTATAGTAACCCTAAAAAGAGCAAAAAAGTATAAGAGAGACAAAAACAACGAAAAACAGTGTGAACAAAACAAAAGAAAATAGCAAGGAAAGAGACAAAACAATCAAAACCAAGCCAAAGACAACTCCAATTGGAAAATCCACCAAGGAGAAAAGCAAAAAAGAGTCCCAATACACCAAGAAAGAACCAATGAACCCAAACCTCAAGAGAACAAACAAGCATCAAAAACAAATTGTTTGTGAATCAATGAGAGAAATTGTACACATCGAAAATTGCAAGACCACAAGCTTCAATAAGAGAAGCAAATCTGTCACTAATGAAGGAGGAGAATGAGGGATCGCAATGACATTTTCCTGGAATGATGACACTAAATCATCGTCAATATCATCAATACTATTCTCCATAGGTTGAATGACAAATTCCATACTACTTAAACTAACTTCAAACGCAGCACCAGAATCATTAAAAAAATGTGAAAGAGTATGAGAAAGAATAACACCTTAAGTGAAAATACAATTAGGATCTGTTACAGTAAATTATTGTCGACTACAATTTTGGATGATGGGTTTATTAACAAATGGGGTCAAAAGACTTGAAACATTTTCTTCAACTCAATACTATCCGGATTCAAAGGATTAACTTTGGTGAATGGAGGAACTGAAGAATGATACACTTTTCTTCGAATATAGGACAGAGGATAAGCTTCCTTGACTTAGAAGACTCAACCGTTCTAAGGGAATCACTAAAAGGCATCTTAATGGTCTCAGAAGGTATTTCTTTAACCGTAAACATTATAAAAGACAGCCGAATCCCCAAGGCCTAAAAGAGGCTAATCATGCAAGCAATGGTCATGACATGCAATAACGATATCTAAGTTTTCCCCTTAAGCATGCAAAATGTAAGGTGGTTGGACGAATAAATCATCAATAAGCGATAAAAGGCAATGAACAATTAAGGTCACATTGGCACCTAATCCAAATAATTATAGAAAACTAATGTATGCAAATAGTATGCGGGGAATGAACTTCTGTATCCTACAATTATGAAACAATTTTTTGGACTGGATGTTAAAACTATTCTGGATTTTGTATGCAGTCAGAAGAAGCTTCAGGTGCCTTCTCCAATTTAACTGCCTGCCGTAAGGACAGTGAAAAAGAACATGATTTATAGCTTCTTCTGCTTTCAAGCATTATACACATACATTTGGGCTCGAAGACCAAAAGGAAAGTTTCTTTGAAGTTTGTCGGTCACATTAAAGTTTTCTTGGAAAGCCAGACAGATAAACATATTCATCTTTTTGGAACTCTGTCTTCTACGAAGATAAGAATTACTCAGCTCCTTTACAGAAGCATTAACTGAAAAAGTTACATGTTGGAAACCATTTCAAGGCTTAAGATTAATAGAAACAAGAGTTCCCTTTTCGACATCAATTGAGATCTTCGAGCTTGAGAGATGGGAAATTTGGTAACACGAATGAAAACAACACACAATTACATGACTCAGTCTACCACGCCTCTTTAAATGGAAATAGTTATTGTACTCCAATTCTAAACTGAAGAAAAATATCCAAATGTTCCTCATATTCATGAAAACAAAATTTAGGAATTTCAAGCCCTCAAATTAACTCATCAATCAATCTAGCAGAAGGGGAAAGATCGATATTATTAAGATGGAATTTTAATGTAGCCTAGGGGCAGCAGAAAAGCTCCGTATCATATGAAATCAGAAAGAGTATTATATCTTAACATTGTGGTCCAGGAAAAACCTTGAAACCAACCATAAATGTCAAATGACATGGAAAAAATAACAATAATGGATATATAACAAGGTTGAGATTTGTGCCTGCCACCTCTAATATAAAAATGAAACATGTTGAAATGATAGCACAGACCACTTACCTTGGGATATAGATACTGTTCCACTGAGTTTTTCTCTCAACTGACTACAGGCTTCAATTATTGCAGCTTTCTTAGTAGTCACCTGGACAAAAATAGATAAATTAAGAACTGCATAACCCTGAATTCCCGTGAGGCATGTTGGACATATATAAAGAATGTGAAGATTCGATGCTACAAAGAAAACCACAAAGGTAATATATTGGCAGTTGACATAATTTTCTTCTCATTGAATTAAAATTTAAGCCCATTTACATATTCCTACAAAAGTAAGTGACTGTCGAAAAAGCAGGGGAATAAGGTTTCCAAATCGAACCTCCTTGAAGTCCAACTCCACATATAAATGCGGTGCATTACCCTCATTCTGTAAAAAAATAAAAATAAAGAAATAATTAAATAAAAGCATAATCAAATGCATCAACTTCAAGTGGGAGGTTAATTGGAGCAAACGGAGAATGTAAGTAAAGAAAGTCACAAAGAGACAACTAAAGTGATTGCAATAAACTCAGAGAAGATAGAAAATGACCAAACTTTCAAATCCAAACCTAAGAATTCGTTTACATGTGGTAAGAAAAATATGAATATAAATATATACGAACAATATAGAAGATACGATGTACATATAAAAGGAGAATAAATGAATATGCTAAAGATGTTATAGCCCGTGACCTAAATAAGCAGCTTGCCTGCAATTGGAAATACGTTGTATCAAAGCCAGCCCCAAGCGACAATATCTGCTTCTTTGTATGTTCCTCTGTGTTACTATCAACATTGAGGAATTGAAAGAGGAGCTTCCTCAGTGCAGCCCAACGGGCAAAATAACCTTATTGGCAACAACGTAAAGAAAATGACTACAAAGTGATTAAAGAAAGTTCTAAAAACACTGACATACTTAAGAGATGCAACAAGATTGTACCTCGATTAATAATTGGAGATCTCTTAACAGGCCTTCTTACAAAAAGGTGTATGAAATCGTCTTTCATGTAGCCCTTTCTAACACATGATCTGTTAACCAAACAGAGGCAGCTAATATTACATCCCAAAGCATAAATATAAAAATAAAAAAATAAAAAAAAAATTAAATCCAGCTGATTTTTAAACTCTGCCAAATAATGGACCAGATTCAAGGTTCAAATTAAAATGATAGATCAAAATTGTCATTGAGAGAACGGAATTCTTCAGCGAGCGTAGAACTACAATTAATTCTTGCATGATTGCATCCCATATGACAGAGTGAGTATTTATCATATCAAAGGGTTAAACGTTGCCGAATGCCAAACTTAATAACAAAATCTTAGCGAGCAAACCAACTGGAAAGTTCCTTGCGGATGAAGAGTGCGTTCATGCAATCAACATCGAATCGTAAAAACAAAAGACCGCCTCAACGACGTTGAGAAGGCAGTAAAAATGGTTATCCAAACCAAAATCCGAAGCGCCGAATTTGAAAATTGCCAAAGGCGAAGAATGGGTCACGAAAGCGTAAAGATAGTGAGGGAATAATGCGTTAAAAGGGGTTTGCTCACAATTTACTGGCAGAGGCATCGTCGTTGGTGGCTTGCACTGCTGCACTGTTACTCTGTGAATCGGGAGCGGCCTTCGCCATTTTCGAATTGCCAAAGAGCTTCGAGGTTAACGCAGTGGTGACACGGTAAGTTGGAGAGTGGGGGATCTAAAAATAGCTCTGGTAAGCTGTTCACTTCAGAAATCAATCGTGTCCATGAAAGAGCGATGAACCGTGTAAGAATTGAATTGAGCAAAACCCTCCGAGACCAGTTTTGATAAGTGTGGCAGAAATGGAGCAAACTCGTAAGAATTACGACAGAATATATTTGTTAAGTACTCCCTGATTGAGTAATAATATTTTGAGATTATTCGAATTTTTAGATCATTCTCAGCGAGATCAAGAGATGACTCAATTTAAAACTTTCATTATTAGCGCATTGTTTGAAGGATTTGGTAACAAATTCTTTTGAATGAATGAATGATATGAACAGTCTCTGTACTCAATGTGTTAGTCTACGTTTACAATCAAATAGAGTTGCATTTTTGTTAACGTATGTGATAAAAGCCTTGTAATTAATTGTTTAATTTAAAATAACAATTTTTATATTTTTTATTTGAAATGTAATATTGTTTATTGTACGAAAAGTTTAAGGTTATTATTGCAGTGTTGAACGGTACGTGGTTAATGCGTGAAATAATGATCTTCCAATAATAACCTAAAGAGTCTATACTATATGGATAGGGTTAGATACCTTATTTCGTTAACATTATTAATACGATTTATTTCATAATTACAAATGATTTGATTTAAACGGTTCATGTGAGAATGTGTGAGTAGGGGTATCATATACAATGAATTTGTATAAGATTTGACCACCTGATATTTAATTTATCTTTATAAATTCGTTATTATAATATTGAAATTTCATAAGATGGTGAAAGTGAATTATGAACTCCTGTATGTGAGAAATTGTACCTTGATTTGCATAGGTGAGAATCATTTTTGTAGGTGACTTAATATGTCTGCCATTTTTATGAACTAACCAAACATGGAGTGTAAACACATACAACATGAATGAGACTTATAATTTAAAATTGTATTCTCTTAAGTGGTCTCCAGTCTAGATAAGTTGAATATGTAGTACTCCTCTACACACACGACCCACACGAGCGAGCAAGAGCCCACCAGACGGGCTCGCACACCCCCTGCCCTACATGGTCGGATTAGTTGGTTGTAGCCGAACGTCTGTAGGTACAACGACCGTCGTAGTCATTATCATCATCATAGTGGACACATCTGTACTCATCATAAAAAAAGGAAGTATTCCAATGTAAATGAACTTACAATAAGCGTGAGGTCCCTATAATTTTTATTTTAATCATTCATGCGGCACAACCCCACCTCTCCCCCATTACACTACGTAACATGCATGCATAAACTTTCGTACGTTTATTAGTCATAACATAACTTAAGAGTTGTGCATGAAATTTTTTTTCATTGTCATACATGTCGTAGCACGTCATATCATAGTGCAACATGTCATTTATACATCATAATACTAAGTGAGTTCACATTTTAAGAATTTTTTTAAACGAGATATTAATTGCTTTCATTTATATATCAGTGTTAAATGTAATTTTTTAATTTTTATTTTATAAAGTTGGAGAGTGCTAATGAAATTTTTGAAAATTTATATGTATTTTTTAAATAAACTACTCTTGATTCCGTTCATACACTAATATTAAGATTATTTTTTTAAAAACTTTAAAAATCAAAATACAAATTATTTTTTATAATATAATCTTAAATATGCAATTTAAAATTAAAATTAATATATTTAAAATATGTATAATATGATATACGGTAAAGGATAATTAAAAAACTTATAAGAAAAATATGTTCGTAAATTAATCAGTAATAACTAGGATTCAAATCGGTAAATTACAATTATGTTGGTAAAAATCTATTAATCTTTTACCATCTTGAATTTTAGATAAAATAAAAAATTTAATGAAAAGTTAAAAAAACCGATCATAAACAATAAAATAAAATAAAATAAAATAAAATGTCGAACCCTGTAACAGTCGAACGGCAAAGTAGAGAAGAAAAACGAAGACACTTCAATACGTGAAGGCCAACAACTAACCGACACAAAACTCACGGTAAATACAAACAAAGGGTTTAGGGTTTAGCCCTCTAAGCCCCCATTTCCGTCGCCATGGCCGGCTTCCGGAGATCCTCCACACCGCGCCTTCTCTATTCCTTCTATGCCTCTTCCCTCTCTCGTTCGACGCTCTCTTCATCTCCCTCACCCGCCACCGCTCTCCTTCTTGGAAATTTCCATCTCCGCTACTCTTCGAGTGCGGCCCGTGTGAAGGAGGACAAGGAGCCATGGTGGAAGGAATCCATGGAGAAGCTCCGCAACATCGGGATCTCCGCGCATATTGATTCGGGAAAGACGACGCTGACTGAGAGAGTTCTGTATTACACGGGTAGAATCCATGAAATCCACGAGGTTAGAGGAAAAGATGGAGTTGGCGCCAAGATGGATTCTATGGATCTAGAGAGAGAGAAGGGAATCACAATTCAGTCCGCTGCCACTTACTGTACTTGGAATGGTTACCAGGTATGATTATAGATTTCTAAAAAGCTACGTCTTTATTTTTTTCTGAATTTAGTTTGCCTTAGAAGTTGAAGCTAATTAGGATGCGTTTTTCTATTGTTACTTTATTCTACTAGATGTAAACGTACGAGAGAGAAATGATGATATGCCATCATTTCATGAGGGTAAACCTTGGTACTAGTTGCACTAAAAAAAACATTGATACTGGTTCTAGCGTCCAAGGAACTTTCAAGTGAAACATTTTGTAAATTTATTTTATGCATCTCAACAAGATAAGTTCGACTGAAGATTTGCATTTCAAATTAGTCATTTGTGTAATTTTATAATTTTGAGTCAAAATGAATGTAAATGAGGACATTTATATGGGATTATCAAACTTTTATGATTTGGTGATCTGTTTCGTGAAGAAACTTGCAGTCCCCATGAAGAATTTTTTAATTGTTTTTTTTATTCATATTCTATTTCAGGTTAACATTATTGACACTCCTGGTCACGTTGATTTCACTATCGAAGTAGAAAGAGCTTTGCGTGTTCTTGATGGTGCCATTCTCGTCCTCTGTAGTGTTGGTGGTGTGCAGAGTCAGTCTATTACTGTTGATCGGCAGATGAGAAGATATGAAGTTCCTAGGCTTGCATTTATTAATAAACTAGACAGGATGGGTGCTGATCCGTGGAAGGTTTTGAACCAGGTAACTTGTATTTTTTAATTTTTCTTTATGGATTTGAAATTATTGCATGTTACTTTCGCTTTCTCGATTTTTTGTTGATACACACACAGACATATTACTGCAGATTATACATTATATGGAAGTAACAACATGCTAGTACTAAGCAAATGTTTCTGTGTTTTTTTTTTTCAAATTATAGTTTTCCTAATTTTTTGCTAGGTTTTCCGCTGATTATTTTGAAAAGGAAAGAGAACTTGTAAATAATCCTCGAATGTAATTAAGTTCTTATGTAGTTTTGGTCGATATTAGGAAGGGCTGTGCACTGGTTAATTATGTTAGAAAGAAACGATCCTGACCTAAGAAAATTACATAATTTTTCACTTGAAGACTTATAAAAAATTCATCCTAAGCAAGTTCTCCTAAGGAGGTCATAGCATTTTAATTAAGAAATGTTAGATAATTTTTCACACTGGTCAACAATGAAGGTAAATTAATTCTTTCAGTTGATTTCATGGTTTATTTGTTGCTACTAGTCATAGAAAGTTCGCCACAGATTAGGTGGGTTCTTTTGAGTTGATGAATTGCAGCTAATCAGCAATGTAGTTGTCGGTGATAATGAGTAGAGTACTAATCTTTGAACTGAATTGGATTGAGTAGAGTACTAATCTTTGAACTGAATTGGATTGGTTTGTCTTGAAGGCAAGGTCTAAACTCCGGCATCATAGTGCCGCTGTGCAAGTTCCAATTGGCTTAGAAGAGGAGTTTAAGGGACTTATTGACCTCGTACAACTTAAAGCTCTCTATTTTCACGGATCCAATGGGTACATTTCCAAACCCGCTTCATCTAATATTTATTTCCAATCCTTCTTAATACAAAAAAATAATTCCTATCCTCTTCTCATGGTTTGGTTATTGCAATGCAGTGAGAAAGTTACCACTGAAGAGGTTCCTGCAGACATGGAAGCTCTAGTCACAGAAAAGAGGCGTGAACTAATAGAGATGGTTTCGGAAGTTGATGATAAACTTGCTGAAGCATTTCTTAGTGATGAACCTATATCACCTGCAGATCTTGAGGTGCCTATTCAAGGAATATAGTAGTAATGATTTATTTATTTTCCATACTGATGGGTAGGGATGCAAAAGAATATGGTTCCACAATATTCTAATTTAACATATTGATTGGTGAACGACATTTGTACACTCATGTTTTCCAGTTACACACACACACACATTTTATTTCATAGGACCAGTAGCAAGAGGTTTGTTTTTGTGCTTGTATGTTATAAATTGAATTTAAAGTAAATGTAGAACCATTGCTTTGCTTGGGTCTTCCTTTGTGTTGAATGAAATTTACGAGGCTGTTATATTCTATTTCCAGTAGGTACTTGTAACTTTCTTTAATCAATATCTCTCTCTACTTATAAATATAGGCTGCAGTTCGGAGGGCTACTGTTGCACGGAAGTTTATACCTGTATTCATGGGTAGTGCATTTAAAAACAAGGTACTCATAATATACTTAATGTTAGTAGCTGATTTTCTTCATTTTTTATTTACATTAAAACTAGTAGGACATATAGGAATTCTTTGGCTTTGATAACTCAAATAAGAGTTATACTTTATAATTTTATTAGTCAATTACAAATACAGTCTGCTTAGTTCAATCACTCTCTCTCTTCTTTTTTCTTTTTTCCTTCTTTTTCTTTTTGTGACAACTCAAATCATTGCTCTATCAATTTGCTGTTTTATGCTCCGCTACCAAACAACTATGCATCTTACAGCTGTGTGATAATTGTTTTTTTTTTCTTTTTGATGTTTCTTATGTATGGATTACAGGGAGTTCAACCACTTCTAAATGGAGTACTTAGTTACTTGCCTTGTCCAATTGAAGTTAGTAATTATGCTTTGGACCAAACAAAGAATGAAGAAAAGGTTACTGGTCTAAATAAACAGTTCGTGTTCTAGATACTTTCCTTT